AAGCTGTACAAATCTCCTTGCAGATATTTACAATTCAGTTTGAGCCATAGGAGCTGTAACTCGTTTATGTTTTGTCCTTCCAGTGCAGTTTCTTTAAAGGATGAAGGTCTTAGTCCCAGCCAGCACAGGAGCACATATCACCAACATTTAGAAGCAGGAAAATCCAGAAAGGAAATCCAGATTTTAAGGAAATCCAGATTGACAGCCTCTCTTCCTGCAGCCTGATCCAGTTTCCAGGTTGACTGCTGCTCTTTCCCACAGAACACCTGAGGTAAAAAAGCAATACAAGCAACACTCCCATTCCCAGGTGAGGAGCAAGTGAGGTGATGGTGCAGCTGTGTCTGTACAAAGGAGCTGCTAATGGTCCTCCCTGAGTGAAGAAGGTTGGTTGGTTGGTTGGTTGGTTGGTTGGTTGGTTGGTTGGTTGGTTGGTTGGTTGGTTGGATGGGTGGTTGGTCAGTCGGTTGGTTGGTGCAGTTTTGGCTTTGAGAGGGTAAGGGAAGCAAACCACAGAATAAACAGGAGCAGTAAGAAGCATCTTTAGAGCTCTGTCAAAGAGTATTTTGTCTATCTCTGAGGGGAACTAAATGGATGAGCTAAAAAATATTTCCCCCTCCAGGCAGAGAGAAAACACTGGTGGGATCAGGAAACACAATTTTTAGGGACAAAAGCCATATTCCTTAACACATATAGAAGTGTTAGTTCACTGGTCTCACTAGATCTTAGCATTACTATAATGTCTCTATGATTACAAGCAAAAATGGAGAAATACTGTTATTTTGCTGATTAAATGCTGGGTTTTTTTTTTCAGAAAAATGCACTGTTCAGACTGCCTTGCTATTCCATCTATATCAGGACAACAAGAAGAGTCTGAACCAGACAGACTGGAAAAAGGGAACCTGCAGGACCTCCAGCTCCTGCCGTGCACAGAGAACCTGCTGAGCACAATGGGTACTGCCTTCACAGGCTGCTGCTCCAAACCCTCTTGCAATACAAGTAAAATGGACTTGAGCTCACTTCACTTCTTTCCAGACCTCAAGACACCCAGCTACACATGATGGTCACCCCAAATCCAGCTGCCTTCCCTTGCTACAATGCCCCCTTTCTCACAGCTGCAAAGTCTGAAACTCCCAAAGACAGAGTCTCCTTAATTAATCATCAGGCAATTTTTTTTTTTTTCCTTTTCTCTGTCTCTTTTTCCATTGCCAACATTCTGTTTGGAATGAATTTCTACAACAGAGCCATTTAACTTCTGAAAATAGATACTTACACTGGAAAGCCTGACACACCCTATATGGAGCCTGTGAGTGGCAGAACCATAATCAAAAGACAGTCAAGACACTGGGCTGTGCTAGCAGCATTCCATTAGGCTCTGAGCAAAGCAGCCCTAAGAGAAGAAAGTAAATGGGAACTCTGTAAACGCCCCCAGGCTCTTTTCATCACTCAGAGGCACTTGAGTTTTTTCTCTTCAGGGTGACCCTAGCTCAGGAGAGTTATTCCAATACAGCTGGTATGTTCAGAACTCCTTGAAAAATAAAAGTTCTCATAAATAGCCAACTGTCGTGATTTCCTGATATGAAACTGCATGTAAAACCTATGGGGGAAAGAAGCCAGTAGTCATATGATATGTCTGAGCTCTGCCTATCATTAGCAGGGGTGGGTTTTTCAGAATAAAATTCTCCTGGGCCAAATAACAGGAGAGTGATAAATAAAGCTTGTCAACTGCCCTTTCTGACTCACTCTCTCCTGCTCAAGGGTGACTCACTGTCATGTGTGAAAGGCTGCCAGGTCCTCCTTACATGCTGAAACAAGCATGGGTTCTGTGTTAGACACACATTACCTCAGAAAAAGCAGACACTTGATGCTGAGAAGGCAGCCCTGGAAAGGACTCTGCTGACTAAAGGACCTGAACTTCAAGGTATTTCTTAATCCTTTCTGAAAAGTTCAAGGTTGTTGTTAGATTACCACAGAAAACTTAGATGCAAAGCTCTGGCTGAGGACTTGGCTGGTGAGTGCAGTGTTTTAAACCATGGTTTACTAGGACCATAAAAGCTTCATAAGGTAATTCCTATGGAGTGAGCCAGCCAGCATGTTCTAGGTGCAGACAGAAGTAACCGAGACCCTGCCTGGTCTAGAGCTGCCTTTTGTCCAAGGAAAATGTAATGGAAAAAAGCAGTCCCTTGCTGCTCACTATTTCATGGGGCTGCTCCCTCAGGGAGCCTGTGAGGAGCCTGCAGAGGGGCAAACAAAGCACATTGAACATCATCTCTGAGTGTGAGTAGCTCACTGAGTGCTCCTGAGCAGCAGCAGCAGCTGCTCGGTGCTCCCTCCTCTCTGCACTGACAAGGACCTTGCAGGTAAGTGGCCGTGCACAAAAAGCTGGTTTGCACCCAGGAGCTTTGCTGCCTACGTGAGTGTGTGCTCCACCCTTTGGTCTCCTGTCATCCCGGGCCCACCACCAGCCAAATGCACAACTCTGTGAAATCTCTGCCCCAGGCACTAATAACAAATCCCAGTTATTAGCACATACCACAGTCTGCACTGCCCTGCAGACAGGTGCCAGAGGACACCTTGCCCTTGTGCTCTTTCGGAGATTCCTGCACTGGCTGCTGCTGTGCCATGACAAAGCAAGGTGCTTTTGCAAGGACAACCATGCTGGGATGCCAACTCCCAGGTCCCAGAGGGTCCTGTGCTGCAGCTGGAGGGACACAGCTGCACCTATGGCACACAGAGGACTCCTAATGCAGGAGCTGACAGGTTTCTGCATTCCCTGCATCATGTAGAGAAACCGTGCTGCCAAGGGGCAGTGATAGCCCAGCTGCCTCCTGCGTGTTCTGCCAGGTGTGCAGCATCCAGGAGTCACCCCTGCAGCTGGGAAAGACACTTGCACGGGCTTTGACACACAAAAACTGCAGCTAAAGCCCCAGCTTAAAGTCTCACTGTTGGAGTCCTGGATTTTTAAACTTTCTTTTTTAAACTTAAAAATCCTGAGATTTTTTTAAACTTTCTGTGATGAAGGGCACCAACCTGCCAGAAAATACTATATTTGACCTGAGGCCATGGAGAAGTCTTCCAAAATTCATTGATAGCACTGGGATTATGGGTGTGTAGTTGATGAGAAGTGTTTAATATCAATGGGTGGAAGACTTAGAGTTTAAGGTTTTGGAATATAGCAATATATATGGGGCAAGATGGAAGTTTTAGGACAATAGCTGGTTGTTCTTCTTTACCTTCTTCTTCCTTCTTCATCATGGTTGCTGTTTTGTAAATGGACAGAAAAGTCCACATTGTGGACTTTGATTAGTTATTGGGTTAAAAGTGAAAATAATTTACGTGTCATTTCTTAATTGGATAGTTTAGCCTTACCAGACCTTGTTACAAGAGTTAGCCATTTTGTAGCTTGTTAGTAGAATGCTGTAAAACTCACCACTTGTAATATAGATAAAAAATAATAAACACCTAAACCTGAATGTGAACTATCTCAAAGGCTTCAATCCTGACCTTGACAGAGAGAGAAAAAAGAAGCCATAAACTGGCATCTCACCACCATTTTTCAGATCATATGATCGCTAACCTGTCTGCCCAGAATGCAGGTATAACCTAGAAATGTTAATTTTGAATAAAATCACAGAATGGTTTGAGTTGGAAGGGACCTTAAAGATAATCTAGTTCCAACTCCCCTGCAAAGGGCAGGGACACCTTGCACTAAAACATGTGCTAAGAGAATAAAGAGTGTACCATCATTTTTATGAGGAAGATATAGAAGCCACTGAGAGTTCTAAATATATTTTTTATATTTATTCTCCTCTGGGAGAAGGTTTCCATCCCCTAAAATTTCTAAGAGGTCATATTTAAATATTTTTGCTGTGTACCAGAACAGATGTCTAATGAAAAGCTTAAAGAGAAGCTGCAGGCCACAGCAGCCTCATCCAATGGTAAAAGGACTCACCTGACCCATGGACAACAAGCCTAGGCCACAATGCTACTTAGGCATTTAATATCACATGTGCCAGTCTAGGTGAGAAGACTAAATATTAGCTGTGAACCTGCACTCCAAGTGTCTGTCTCAATCAGGCAGAGCAGGGCCATCCCACAGAAGTGATCCAGTCCCTGGGCTGTTGGCTACTCCAGAAGTATATTTCTCATCATTTTCATCCTTTAAGAAACTGAACCACATATTGCAAGGGTAAATGAATTGTATTCTTCTTATCGTGCATTCATATATTTTACTGAAAAACTTCTAAACTGGCAGTAATTTGTCCAATTTCTCTTCTTAGCCATGATGAAATATTACACCTGTGGTCTCCTTCCACTGTTTAATCATCCATTATTTTTCCATTGATTTTGATCAGCTATTACCAAATCAGGATTTCATCCTAAATTTTCCTTGCTAAAGTTTCCATGCTAACATTTTAATATTTGGCAGGTACAGATAGTTTTATAGGTAAAATAGTCATAACTAAGGTTAATTCTATCCAAGAAAAAAAAACTTAAAGATACAAAAGGAAATTAAAAAAAAAAAAATGAACACAATATATTAGAGATTCTGGAATAGTTTCCTTCAGAAGCAAAATTTCACCAATTTTTTGGCTCCACTAAGTCGTGTCTCCTGATTGTTTTGCTAACTGTTTAGAAAAACAGAGTTGACACTGAAATCAATAATCATATTAATCTGCAGGTGTCAAAGCAGTTGTCAAAATCAGCCAGGAAAATAATCTTCTCAAAAATGGCCTGTAGAAGGCATTAAGATGAAGGACCAAGAAGTACAGCCTGGATCTCCAGTCACCCAGCCCAGTCTCTCGTGTGCCAAACTCCCCCAGCTCTGACAAATGAGTTGGGCATCTTAATCTGCAATTTCAAAGTGATTTACTGAGCCAAGTGAAACCATGCTGTCCCACAGACACCACTGCTGCCAGCTGCTCTGACTGCAGTCACCTTCTGCTCCCTGCAGCACAGTGCTGCCACTGCTCAGCCTTCCTCTGCGGCTCCTCAGGGTGGCAAACTGAAGTCATCTCTTAGGATAGAGGAACCACTTGTCCTTCTTTCTCTTCTTCCTCTTCTCCTCCACTGTCCCATGGGGTGTGCACATCCAGGATTTTAACTCACTACAGTGAACTCCAGTGATGCCCATCCTGTTAGAAGACATCATGTTAATCTGCTTGACACAATGAAGAAAAGAAAAACAGGAGAGAGAGGGACGTGTTTGTAATGTTTCCTAGGCAAACCAGCAGAGAACCTTGCATCCTTTAGCAGAGAATGACTGCTCTGCCCCAGGGGAAAACAAATAAACCATGCTTGTACCCTCAGCACCTTGAAAACCCCTTGAGTTCATGTCTGGAGTGAGCATGCACACAGCATGGATTGCAGACATGCCAGTGAAGCTCCCTGAGAGTTTGGTTCCTTTGCATACCAATTACATGACTCTGTCTGTAATGCATAAAACCAAGACGCTCAGGGTGCACCCAGTGATCCCAGAGCATGCACAGAACAATTACAGGAGCATGTGCAGCAAATTTCACACTCTCAAGAAATACCAGACTCACTGGTCATGTGCTGGAGACATGTCCAAAGGTTTTGCATGTGCTGTGCTGTAGCACTCATGAAGGCAATTCTTAATTTCTCATTTCCAGGCAAAAGAAGATTTAATTCTTAATGGGAGTTTTCCATACACTTCAACAGAGCAAAACTTATTTACTGATAACTCAGTAGTCCTGAGTTATTTCAGTTAAAAGTACTGCAGTGATGCTGCTGTTAACCACTGCTGGATGGGAAATGGAATTCCTCTCCTATGGCATACCCAGGCTTGAAAGATTTTGTGTTTATTATTAATCAGGAGAAAAGGTTCTGTTTCTAATACCATCAAAAGTGTATGTTTAAAGTACAATGTAGTAACAAAACTACTTTTCTGGAATAAAGTATATCAGTAATTTCTGATCAGAATATTATTAAAAACTAAAAGTCAAGAAGACTGAAGAAGTTGTAATGAATCATGAGCAAGGAAACAAACTCCATTGTGATTTTCAAAAGTTTTGATTATTTTCTGCTTAAACTGATATTAAGGCATATTTCCATTCCACAGAAAATTTACAATTTTTAAACAAGCCCTATGATTTGTGATAGGTGCTTTGCCATCAGATAACCAAGAGAACTGTTCTCTGCAAGCTTCAGGCTCTCTCAGGTCTCTCAGAACTCTCCTGTTCCTCCTGTGCAGACCAAGTCCTCAGTCCAGTGGCCCCTCTCCCAGTGGGAAATATTTAGGTTTTATCCTTCCTTATGGCACTACAAAATCCATGCATGGACCAGTGCAGATGTGAAAGCACTGGCTTTTTAAAGGCATGCAGGCAGATGAAGCTAGAAACAGAGTGAGCTCAGATGGATTCCATCTTGCTCAACTCTGACCAGTTTGGCATAGTCTTGGCTAGTCTAACCTGAGATCACCACCCAGTTTCCCTCAATAATCAATGGAAAGAGAGTGATGGGATGAGTCACTCTGTGGGGGTTCCTATCACACACGTCTATCCCAAGAGGCAACAATTCACTCTCTGGCCGAGCTTCTTCTTTATTCCACAGTGTCTGTTCAGGCAGCTGAAGGCATGGTCTGACTGGACAGAGAGTGTTTAGGCAGCTGCAGGCAGACAAGATGATCCCCACCCAGAATGACAGCATTATTATCAGAGAAAATATCACTACCAAATACCAGCTCATTGCATCTCACCTCCAAGTGTCTGCTTGCTGATTAAAAAAAAACAAATCTGGCTTTTCACTCCTATGTAACATTTGTCATCCCTGGCACAAACTGCTTCAAATCCCTATAAATCTGATCTCTACCAAGTCTGTTCTTGAAAAGATGGCATCACTGGGACTGCTGGGTATCCTTGGAACTAAATCCACAGTTCCACTCTTTCAAGGAAAAGCGTATGAAGTTTATGAAGTACAAAGTATAATTTGGACCCAGATATTCTGTATTGATTCTGCTGAAGCCCTGCTACATGGCAAGTCTCACAAATGGCTGCTGGAGCTGTATGTGGCAGGCCAGAGGAGCTGACTGGCATCTAGAAATGTCACCAAAGGCAATGGAAATGAAAGACTGTACAATTTCTTACCTACAGAGATGAAACAATGAGGCCAATGATGAGAAGAAATCTGCAGAGCAGACTTCCCAGAGGGACCTCAGGCTGTGGTGGGAACTGTCTGGAGTCCAAGAGCCACCAAGGGACTGAAACTCCCCAGCTTAGGGCTCCAAGGGGAAAAGGTTTGGGCTGAAGGGCAAAGAGATGGTATTTTACAGGGACACCTAGGCCCTGGAGGTAAAATTTTATTCTATGCACTCTGCCCCACAAATAAACTACTGGGGGAACCAAAAACAGAAAGGGGCATTTGGGTGTATGTGCAAGGGAGGGACACGCTCTGGGCTGACACTGTCACACACTCTGTTTATCTTTGTGACTTTTTTACCTCAAAGAAGCTCTGATCTTTGTGCAATGATGTTTTTCTCCTAAGGCAGCAAACAAGAGCACAAAATTAATAGCAGCAGTTGTCCTTTCAGTCCTCTGAACAGAGCATTGAATATGACTCATGGGGCTATGCCAAGCTGGCATTCCACCAGGGCAATAAAGCTGCTGCTGGTAGATCCTCATTAACAGCACGCGGAGACCCACTGTCCAAGAGAAGGATGGGACTTCTGCGTTGCCTCAGAAGAAGAAAATGTAAAATGTTGTATGGCTGAGTTAATTAAATCTGACAGAGAACAGAGCAGGTTGTGATGAGCAGGCGAGGCTCCCCTGCTATGCTATCTCGACTGAGCTCTCTGCACGGGCCCCTCAAAAGTGGTCAGCGCTGATCTAACCCAGTTCCCACTGAAGCCAATTAAAAAACTCTTCCTGACATCACTGGAAGAGCAGCAAGCAGAGTTTTTTGGGGCAAAAAGCCAGGCCAACGCTGAGACAATAAACTTGAAAACCAGGAAGGAGGTGCCTGATGTATCTCCAAGAAGAAATGTAAAACATGCCCAGGAACAACAAAGGGCTTTTGTTAAAGAAGCAGCAATTTGCCCAGTGGAAGCCAAAGAGATGCTGTCGCCACCCCTTGAGCCCAAGATGGTCACACAAAGCCAAATGACCGTCCATGATGGAAGTGCCCATTAAGCAGAGGGTGATGCACACATCCCAGCAGCCACTCTGTTCTCCTGGAGATGGCACAACTCACCCTCATGGGAATGCCAACACATTTTCCCTGCTAACCTGCAGATCCCCACAGGTCCTGCCAGCTGCACAGGAAAGCCTGTCTCCACATCAGCTCACCAGCTCCTGATGTCTCCCTGACCTTCCTGACAACATCAAGTGGTGCAGACAGTGACTCCCAGCTGCCATCCCCCAAAAATATCAATGCAGAGCAGTCCATGAAGATAGTACCTTTCAGCCTTTGTTTCAGCTCTATTTACCATCTCTGGACTTCTATTTACTGATTTTTCTGATCAAGAAAACCACGTATCTCCATACCTGGTTCCCACCAGCTGCAATCCTGATGATGCTTCACATATATACAAGGGAAAAGAGGCTTGACTCTGCACGCACAGCATGGCCCTTTGCCAAAGAAAACTCCCAAAACAACTCCAGTGATTTGGGTTCCTTACGGATTCTGGTAAAGAACAGCATTCTGCCTTCAGAGTACCAGAGAAGAGAAACTTAAAATTATCGCAGGTACTGAAACCTAAATATGAAACACAGATTCTCCTTTTAACAGCTCATGTGGTGTCTGGGAACTAAGATCCTTCTTTAGCAGAGAAACATATGCAGAAGCCAGGAAGAGAAAAGAACATGAATAATTAGAGACAAAGAATACCAGGGGTCTTCACCCTTCTTTCTCCCAGTGCTTTCTTCCCTGAGGTGAGGCACTAAGCCAAAAGACCTGAGTGAAATAAAGTTTCCTAAAGTAAGTCTTGAACTAGAAGGCACCTCCCATGTCTAGGACACAGTTGCTAATTAAGAAAATACAAAAAAAGGGTCAGGAAAACATCCTGGAGCAACAAGCTTCAGGACAGGACTTGCAAGAAATTTGAAAGAGTGAGCAAAAAGCATCATGGCTTCTAGTAACATAACAATATTTATTCTAGAATTGACATAGCAATATTGATTTCTCAGAGCTGTGAAGGGGATGGAGTGAGTTCATGCATAAAAGAAAGAGGAGGCCAGCACAGCCCTGTTTGCCCCATTGATGCAGCTTTGGGAACACTCTGTATTGTTCCCATCGTGACAAATGCCCATAAGGAAACTGGCACCACAGAAAGGTTGCCCAATCCTCATAACTTAAAAGGAGAAAGCCAGACACACCTATTCCTTCCTTAGCATTGGAGGCACAAAGGGACTAGCATACACAAATAACAGGAACTCTCAAATTCCAGTCTGGAAGAGTGTCAAGATAGGATTTTAATGCTGCGTTTTACAAATCATCTAAGTGTAAGCTGAAGATGATCTCCACCTAAGCATCCCTTTTTACAATTTCAGGGAAAACACTTTTGTGAAACATCAATAATTTCACGTGAGCATACAGACATTTGGCAGATCTGGCAGAGAAAGCACTTTACCAACATAGTATAATATTTCATTAAAATGTTGCTATGGTGAATTGGAATGAAAAGCAACAGCTTCAACACCATCATGAACCCACAGCTGGATTATAAGGAAATACAGCAAAACTGGGGCTGATACACCATCAAGAGTGTTTCAGCTTTTTAATCTAAACATTTTTCATGTTAAAAAAATAATTCATCAAAAGTTACCTTCCCCACAGTTTCCATTTAATCCAAACCCATGTGTGCTCAAAAAAGTCCTAACCATCTTATAATTAAGAATGTTAACCAGTTCTGTCCTTTAGCTCTTGTACTTGGCTGTTCATATAATGGTCTGGGAGGATCCAGATAACATTTAAGGCTGGAATGAGTCAGCCTGGAAAAGATTATGTATATATAATTGCAGCATGGTATGGGAAGTGCCCTATATTATAACAGGCTCAGCATTAGCCTGACTCTGAAGGCAGCTGTAGTCAGCCACCCTGCTATGAGTAACTCAGTGAGCCCTCTCCTCACACAGCACCTGCCCTACATCATGAGGGCTTTAAAACACAGCTCTTTTCC